CGACTTTAGCCAACTCTTGTCCAGTCTTGATAACAGCTCTGGTAAGATTGCGCCGAACAGCCTGCCGCGAGCCCGTTGTACGCTGGGATATATCATCGATCCAAACTCGATGTCCCATCTGCGGCGTAGCAGTCGTCACAACTTTCAAAACAAAATGTGTAAGAACTTTGGCAAATCTTGTGCCGGACCTCAAGCCCTGCACCACCGATTGGCACGGCTCGAAAGGGTCGGACGCGGCCCCCTCCTGCTCCAGCGCGCGGACCACGACGCACTGCAGCAGCTCCAAGTAGAGCACCGCGGGTGGGAACCCCAACTTGAGCGCCGCTTTGACCAGCGGTGCCCAGGGGATCGTGTCGTAGAACTCCTGCACGTCGACGAGGTTGTGGCCGAACTGGAGCTGCATCCATGCCGCCAGCTCCTCATCGATGGCCCTGAGGTAGGCCTCCTGCAAGCACGAGTTGCCCGCCACCGCCGCGTCCCAGGCCTGCTCCTCCTGCACCGACCACTGGCGCACGATCGGCTCTCGAGCGTGCGACCACAGCCTGCCCAGCATGGGGACAAGGCCTATGGCCCTGTCCCCCGTCACCTTTTTGGGAGTCAGCTTGCCGACCACCATCATCGTCTGCACGGGCCACACCAGCAGATGCTCGATGCTCTGCAGGATGACCGCAAGCTCCGCGATCGCTGGGCCTGGCAGCCGCTGGAAGTCCACTGGGGACAGCATGTCCACGCCCATGCCCGCCTTAGCCTTCATGGCCTTGGCGCTGGCATAGATCTGATCGACCTGGATCGGCGGTAAGGGTTCCATTTCTGCTGCAACTCTGATGGTCCTGAAGATCTCGCGCACTTCAGAAACCTGTGGGACTGACGGGGCCCACAATTGCTTGAACTTTTCCGCGTTCAGATTCATCACTTCCGATTGGTGCTGCACCACTTTCCCGTCACGAAAGACCTCCATCGTCGGCAACGGTTGAGGCCTCAGCGATTTGTGCAACACCCCTGCCGCTGTAGGTTCGACCACCCACGATTGAAATTCTGATAAGGATTCTTTCATAGCCGCCCGCTGAGCTCTGCCCATGATACGTTTGGCCGCATCCACATACGATTCCAAGACAGCAATGTTGATACCACCAGGGTCTCGTAATGCCTGCAGCCATTGCTCCCAAGGAGGGTCACGAGCGAGGTTAAGTACTCCATGGACTCGCTCTGGTCGGCCTTCACGAAGTTTGCGGCACGCCTCGTACATGTCCTGCAGCTGCTTAGCACCGTTGTTACGACTACGATGCCTGGCCACTCCATGCAAGAGGGTGTGCACTCTCGTCCACCATTGGCTACGTTGATCTCTGAGCGGGAGGGCCCTGGCGTGTGCGACCACACGCATGGGCTGCACGGAAAACCTGGGTCCGCATGCACGCGGCACCCCAGGGGCGACCTGAAGATCATGATGTGTACGGACAGCCTTCTCCACAGCAGAAACCCACGACGCGTACATGCCAGCGACGACTACGCTTTGCCGAGGTTCGAGCCGAAAGGCTACGGAGGAGGTGAGGAAGGGGGAGGCCTGCTGCACCACATCGGCGCCAGAAGAAAATCCAATCGAGTGCCGACTTTCCATCCAAGTCTCAACTGGGATTTCAAACGCGACCTCGCTGGCATTATCCTGCGGCCGTGTAGTGTCACCACGGCTAGAGTCCAATAAATTGCCCCTCACTGTGTTAGGCGCACTACGGTCAGGAGACTGTTGCTCTACGGGGGTACTGACTGGCTCAACGCAGGGGGGCTGGGCCTCACACGTAACCGAATTGTCAGACTCTACGAGAGGCTCTTTTTCCATCGGGGCTCGGCCGCACATGGGCACACTGGGCACACCGCTGGGTAGGGCCTTTCCCCCATCAACAGGCTGACACTGGAACGCATCAGCTAGGTTATTATCACTACAGAAGTTGAGCTCGGAGGCCCAAGGAACTTCTTCCTCCTCGGGGTCCAAAAAATCAGGCTCAAAAAAATCATGAGGCTCCTCGAGGGCCCCTTCACCCTCCAAAGCTCTCGACCCCTCAGCCTGGTCAAAACAGTCACCGAATTGTTCTTGAAAATCCGCTACTCGCTTTTCGTGAGCAGCAGCACGGGCTACGGAAGCTTTGGCCTTGGCTTTGCTGGCCTTGGAGCCTACAGTTGGCTCCGTCCTCGGTCGGGGAACTTGCGGTAGCTTACACGGGACCTGGAGGGCCCTAGTACGCAGCTTAAGCCCCGACGACCAAAGACGCAAAACGAGCGCTATGCGAGGCTTCCAGGTTACATCACGCACAGGCTCTAAACTACGCACGAGTGGAACCGCAGATTCACTCATAACTAGGTAATCTATCATGCTATCGGGTTCTCCCTTTTTCTGCGCACATGTGCCTACTACATCAGCTACGCGCAGAACTCCACCCACCCTCTCCACGAACTTCGACCGCACCAGCGCCTCTGGAGTCATGTTCCAGTCCCCGATCACTGCCCAAGGAATGCTCATCGCCCTCAACAAGCCTCCGAGTCTGCGAAAGCGTTCTCGGTTCAAGCCCGTCATTCCGAGGCTTGGGAGTGAATATAGCACAACAATGACAATAGAGAACCCCGACTGGTGCATGAGCATCGGGAGAAAGCCGTCGAAGCTGTTCTGCACGCCAGCCTTGAGCTGACGCATGGAGGTCCTCGCCTCTGGCAGAATATGGCATTGCAGATGGTTCCGTGACAAAAAGATCTCACCGCCCTCGTTGGAACGGCGCTGCTTGGCTACACCGACGATCTTGCCTGACGGTCGTGCACGGTTGACCGCCATCCGCAAGAACAATTGCCGTGCTTTTTTATCCCACTCTCGTACTTCGGACTCCTGCTGAACGTGAGTTTCGACGAGGGCCCAATGACTATATGTGCGTGCACGCTGAGAAATGAATTTCCATGCTTTATCCGTCAGCTCAGTGATGTTCGAGTAAAAAATCGTAGTCTCGTCATCCTTCGCCGGCGGCCCCTCAGTCAGGGTCTGAGGGGTCCCCGTTCTGGACCGTCACGCAACTGCCGTAGTCGCCGCCGCCGTGCCCTTGCCCACCGCCTTGGTCTGCTCAGCCTTGGCAGCGAACTTGGCCGCCGACAGCCGCTGCGCCTCCTGCTTGATGGCCTCCTCCTTGGCAGCCTTGGCCGCGGGGTCCTCCTCCGCCGCACTGGGCTGCCCTGCCGTCGCCGCCGCCGCCTCTGGCTTGGCCTCGCCACCCCCGCCCCCAGCGGAGGCCTCAGCGGGTGGCGCTGCCTGCCCCTCGGCGCCGCGGCGCTTCTTGGCCATCCTCTCCTGGATCGCCGCCTTGTGCTTCGCCGTCGTCTCCAGCCAGCGGCGGATCTCGGTCTCCTTACTCTCCAGGGACGTCTTAGCCTCCTCCAGCTGCTTGCGGATGCCCTCGAGCTCGGTCTTCTCGCCATCGGTGCACTCCATGTCGGCCAAGTTCTCGAAGAACTGGGCATCCCAACCGATGCTGAAGAGCTTCCCGTCCTGCTTCGACTTGTCGTCTTCTGGGCCAATGCCCTCAGCCTTGGCCAAGGCAGCCGTGGCCGCTCGCCTCGCAGCAAGAGCCTCTGCTAAGGCCGTCGCTGCCGCCGCCTCCTTCTGCTCCGCCGCTGCCAGGTTGCCGCGGAGCCGAAAGACGCTGTTCACCGCCTGCTCGTGCATGTGCTCGGCGTTCTTCACCATGCCCTCGACCCTCTTGAGCGCCTCCACGGGCGTCTCCCTGGGGCCAGGGGCCGTGCTCGTCTTGGCGAGCTGGTCGATCTGGGACTTCAGCACCTGCTGGAGCCCTGGGTCCTGGGAGGCGTCGCATGCTTGCTGAAGCAGCTGACGCACTTGCCCTGAACCACCTTTACCTCCCTTGCCTCCACCTCGGGAGCCCCCTGGTGACGGGCTGCGTGGCCCACCCCTGAGGATACCCACTGGGCCAGCGGGAAGGGGCTGGCGAAGTCCGCCTGCCTCAGTCTCCTCATCACCGCTCCAGGCGTCCAAGAACTCGTCGTCCGAGTTGAACGTGTCCCGCTGGAAGGAGACTTTCTTCATCCTCACGTAGAGCTCGACTGTTGTGCCACAACCCGAGCACACCTTCTTCTGCTGGAGAAGCTTCGCGTTCCACTCGCATGTACTGCAAGTCGTGCATCGCGACCACAACCGTGCCATGCTGCCTCTGTGTTCGTCGGCACCCTAGAAATCTGGCGGGTTCTGGGGTGCAGTCCCTCAAGCGCTGCTCGGAAGCCCAGAGGCCTGGACTCAGGCAAATCCTGGAATGCCTGGGCCCAAATTGCTTGAGGGGGGCCTCACTGGGGAGACTGCTGACCGTCTTGGAGGTCAGGTTGGAGAGGGGGAGGCCTCTAAAGTCAGATCGGGTTCCCTCTCTGGGGCCGTTCTTGGGGGTCACTTGGACCGTCTTGGGGGGTCCTTGGGCCGACCTGGGACGCTTTCAGGCAGTCCTTGGGCCATCTTGGGAGTCTTGGGCCGTCTTTGGAGGCCTCTTGGGCCGTCGTGGGCGTCTGGAAGACCGAAGAAGCAACACACTAGAATCCTTCGAAAACTTGTAGAACATCAACAGCTTTGCTTCTGAAAGGACTCTTGGGGGTGCTCTTGGAACCTTCTTGGGGCGCCTGGGCCGTCTTGGGGGGCTCTTGCTTGGACCGTCTTGGGGCTCTCTGGGTCCGTCTTGGAGCTCTCTTGGGCCGTCTGGAAGCATCTGGGCCCCCACCCGACCAGAGCCGCCGGATCATCGCCGTACAGGGACGGGTCTTGATACCTTATGAGCCCTTCTGGCACGCAGATTACCTAGTATTGTAATATGAACGACGCCGGGCTCCAGCATCGCCTCCAGCATCTCGCCGAGCAGCGCCAGGGCCCGCTGCCACTGCTCGCCCTTCCCGCACCCGCTGATCCCAGCGCAGCTGACTAAGGCCAACCAGTAGATTACCGTCCACGCGTGCCAGTGGTCAAAGTGAGCTCAGCAGCAACAGAGCCCGCTGCAAATGCTCGCCTTTTTGGCACGCGCTAACCACAGCATTGTAGCTGACCAGGGCTGACCCGTGGCTTACCGGCCACGAAATCTGTCCGAGATAGCACGTGGGGCCAGGGCTGAGATGTTGCCGAAAGACATTCGTGATGACGTTAGGCCCGAACTTCGCCTCTGCTGTTGCCGCCTGCAGCTGCAGGGTGCTGCTGCATGCGGCATGTTGATGTTTCTACGAACTTCGGCTGTGTGATGACGCTTCTTTCTGCGGACTGCTGCTGCTGTTCGCTGTTGCTATGTGAGGCTGCAGAGTGCTGTTTCCTGGTCCCCTTGCCAGCTGACGCGTCCTCTGGAATTCGTGCGTGGACCCAGGAACGAGAAGCGAGAAGTGTCAGGGTCGAGGCCGGGAGGAGGTGAGGAGCGACCAGCGAGGAGCAAGGAGCGAGAAGGGAAACAACGGTCAAAAAGGGAGGAGAGGGGAGAGAAAGAGAGAGAGAGAGGTATGGTGGGGAAGTGGTCTGCCCTAAAGGCGTCAAGGAACGACATCAACCGAACAACAACCCGGCTTCGGACTCCGGATCTTCGTCACAGCCCGAGCCGCGAATGCCACGAAGAAGAGAAAGAGAGAGAGAGAGAGAGAGAAAAAAAAAAAAAGGCGAGCTGGGATGAGGGAAAGCCGAAGCAAGGGGGAGGCAGACGCCAGCAGTCAAGAGAAGGGTGGAGCCAGGAGAGAGGTGGGAGGAGCGAGGAGGAGTACGAGGAGAGGAGCCAGGAGCCAGGAGAGAAAGGCGAGGAGCGATAAGAGAGAGCAGCAAAGGGCGAGGAGCGTGGAGCAAGGAGGAAAAAGGGAGGCACGAGAAGAGGCCAGCACACGAAAGTCTTAATGGCATCGGCGCGCGCGTGGCCAAACATCTGGACTCCTATTGGGCCGCCGATGGGGCTCTCCTGGGCGGCCCGCGCGGTCCTCGAGCCCTCTGACGGATCTTCCCTCGGAAGCCTCGGTGAGGCGGTCTGTGGGAGGGGGGGGGTCTACAGGGCATGTCGGGGCCCTTCGTGGGCCTGATTTGGACCTCCTTCGGGCCTCCTGGAGGGCTTCTTTAAAGGAGCCCTGGGACACCTCAATAAATACACACAAATAAAAGGATTCCCCATATTTTCCCACATTTTCTGGGTTTTTGTCTTCCCCCCCACCTCCCATATTTTCCCATATTTTCCTGGGAGTCGACGATTAATTGTGACTGTGTGTTTTCCCCCTCCTGATTCTTGGTGGACTGCTGACCGCGCTCGGCGAGGCGACGGCCTGCCTCGTGCTGGCGGGCAGGCAGGCCCCGAGCCAGAGCGGCAGCACCGCCTTGACTCGCCACGGGCGGCACGGTCGTCACGCTCCGGCCTCAGAAGCGGCACCTTCCCGACCCCGCCCGGTAGGACACTTGCTGGGGATCCTCCACGGCCTCGAGGGCAAGCACAGCCGGACCTGGGCCAGGAGAGCACCCCCCGAGAAGGCGAGGCCCTCCGCCGGCGACAAAACGCACAGGGCATCCGAGGCTGCCCTCCGCCAGGGTGCACCGGGACGTCCCACGAGCACGACCAACAGGAGGAGAGGCCCTGCCCGAACGGGCCTCGACCTGTTATACCTCGGCCCGACAGTCCAGCCCCACGACGGTGGGGCACCTCTCCCGCACCTGCACGTCAGCCGTTTCTCACCGTGCGCCTTTCGAAGTGTGCTCGTTTCGAGTTGTTCCTGGCCCCCCAGTGGCCAGGAAGAGGCCCAGAACAGAACAATGAGAGATGAAAGGATCTTGCCCCCCCCCCAGCAAAAAAATCGAAGAACTCTCGAAGAATTGGAGATGAACAGATGTGTACCGCAACGCCACGGAGGGGCGGGCCCACCTCGCCGCGCCAGCGGGGTCCGACGGCGCGTGCCGAGGCTCTCCTTGGAGGCGACGCCGCGAGCGGGTCGCGCGCCGCGGCTCCGCGAGGCGCGCCTGCGGCGACGGCTTTGGGAGGTCCCCAGTGGACCAAAAAACAGACGGCACCACCCCGCCTACGAACCCACGAGGCTTTGCGCATACCAAGAAAATCCGGCGTGGGCTTCTGCGTAGTATACGCTACGGCCCCCGATGAGCCGATGCGCAGCATGGAGGACCGTGGGTGGGGTGGTGTTTTTTGTTTGTGTTGGTCGACCTCAGGCAGCAGCTCCTGGACGCGCCCTCGAGTGGGGCCTCGGCGCGGGCTTCCTCCGCAAGGCTCGGGCGCAGCTCGGCGGAGTGCCCCACACGGCGAAGCTCGGCGCGGACCCCGCCCCGTGGCTCGGCGAAGTCTGGGTCGGGTCGTGCTGGCTGCCCTCGGGCCCGACCCTGCCAGCGACAGCGTACGGGCAGCGGTCAGCAAGGCGGCGGACCTCGGAGCTCAAGCTCACCAGGTCGCCCTGGACGCCCCCCAGCAGCACCCCCTGGAGAAGGCAGCGGAGGGCCCCCGAGCGCAAGGCTTCACTGCGAGCACCTCCCGTCCACATAGGTCGGCGAGCTTGTGGCCCGCCGCCGCTGGGTGCTGCCGGGCACCAGGCACGTGGGGGACGAGCAGCTCACCTGGACGTTGGAGTCCCTCGACCTCGGGCGCCCGATTGCGCCTGCGGTCGGCCCCGTGCTGCAGCACCCGAGCACGCCGGAGCCCAACATCCGGTGACTCGGCTGCCGCTGCGAGGGGGACCCCCGCATGAGGCGCGCCGACTAAGCGCCGCCTGCCGATCGGTATCGGCCGCCTCTGGACCGACACAGAGGCCGCAAGGTGGTCTACAGCTCTGGAGGACCGCTAAGTACCCTCCCTGCCGGCACAATGCCCCCCCACCTCTCGCGCGGGACTTCAAGACCCCTGGGCACGGCGCACGTGGCGTCAGCTTGGAAGAGGGCTGGCTGGCAGTCGGCGTGACGTTGGAGGAGCTGAGCGTGAGGAGGAGCACTGGGAGCCTGCTACGACCGCGACGCGCAGGCCAAGGAGAAGGGCATGCTGACCTGGCTGGCACGCTGGAGGCAGGGGCTGATGCCCGGCCAGGTTCCTCGCGCTCGAGCCCACGGCGGAGACGGGAGCGCCGGAGTGCACCCGCCGCTCCCCGCCGCGGGCTTCGTCAGCCTCGCCACCCAGGGCCGCTTCGACCAGGCAGAGGGCGGCGCGGACGCTGCCGCTTCGACCAGGCAGAGGGCGGCGTGGACGCTTGCTCAGCTGCGGTGGCGAAGCGCTTGGTGTGGCAGGCCGCCCCAGTCGAGGACGCCTCGCGCCTCGCGCCCGCGCCCGCAGCAGTGGGCCTGCGGAGCGCTGGGAAGCAGGAGCTCCCGGAGGTCGCGACGCCTCCCCCCCCCCGAAGAAGGCTGTGGTGCAGGCGAACCTCGACCTCGACGTCCAGGTGATCTCGGAGGTCCAGGAGTGCATGCATCGGACGCTGGCTGGAGGGCTCGCCCACATCACGCGCACCAGCTACGGCGAGGTCTGGTCCAAGTGACGCTGGTGGTGCACGAGGCACGGCATCTCCGTTGTTCCCCAGTAAGAGCAAGAAGCATATCAACGGAGAGGAGGAGGAGCTCCTACGCTTCCTGGGCTGCCTGGGCTGGCTCGGGAAGGGGGACGGCAGAATCCTGGACACCGTCTGCGCCTTCCAGGGGGGCCACGTGCGCGCAGGAAGCGGCGACCCCCTCGACGGGAAGAAGCAAATCGCCTTCCTCATTTACTCGCTGCAGACGGGCGGTCCAAAGGAGGACAGGAAGCTGGGCGCCACGCCGAGTCTGATGACATGGCTTCAGAAGGAGCTGGACGCCAAGCGCCCAGGCGCCCCACGCGGCACCAACGCAGGGGACGAGGCGCTCGACGCGGCGGTGTTCCTGGCCACACGCACCACGGGTTTCTTCTGCCTCGGCTGCGCCAAGGGGCTCGGCGACCGCGGGGGCGTCGACGAACAGACGTGCACTCGCGGCGCCGACGTGGCCCTGCACGACGAGAAGGGCGGCAAGACCAGCGAGAGGACGCACCAGGCCGCCCAGCGCCTCGTCACGCTCAGAAAAGCCAAGCCCGACCAGGGGGCCTTCGGCGCGGCTCTGGCGCTGCCGCGCGCCCACGGCCCCGGAGCGCTTCGCGTGGAGGGGCCCGCGGGCAGGTTCCCCCGCCTCCGCTGGAGCAGCGGGCAATGGGGGGGGGGCAAGAGGGGGAGCAGCTGCGGGCCGCACTGCAGCGGGCAGCGGCAGCCGAGGGCCTGCCGCCGGACAGGCTCGAGCTGCACTCCCTGCGCGTCGGCGGCGCATCATCGGCGCTATGGCCATGCGCTGGGCGACGCCGAGGCAGTCAAGCGACGGGGCAGGTGTAGCTCGCAGGCTTGCCACGGCTGCCTCTACGACTCGGCCGAGCAGTCCAGGCGCGTTTCGGTCGCCATGGCCAGAGACGTGGCCACACTCCATGCTGCCTAAGCTGACGGTCCCAAGGTTGGTGGAGGTGCAGAGCATGCTCGTGGCAGATCGCTTGATGTGGGGAGACTGCTCTCAGACACGTTCGAGGCACTTCGCGCTGGTGAAACATCGTGAGCCCGCTTGTGCGTCCTGCTGATCTTTGTCGGTGCCAGAGACCTGCCCGGCCGAACGACGGGAGGATCGGTGCCAGGGACATGCCCGGCCGAACGACTAGAGGATCCTTGCCGCAGACCTGCCAGCGCGAGAAAGTCAATATCTGTGCACACCGAGTTTTGCTGATATTGGTTGCCGACTAATAGGACGCCGTGCTCGCTTTTCTCTCGCACGCGCCGACGCCAGCTTCGAAGCTGAAAAGTGTCCCGTGGATGAAACAGGAGATGGCACAATCATTATGAGGCTAGTCTTGGGCTGGTAAGACGAGGAGGCCAAAAGCATTGCAACTGTCAGCTGTTCGATGCTTGTTGCCCTCGTGGAGCTGAAAAATCGGGAGGTCGTTTTAGGCCTCTTCTGGGCCGTACTGGGGGCACCCTGGGACATCTGGGGGTGCCCTGAAGCGCCTCGGAATTCTCAGGCCACTGTGAGCTGTCCTGCACCGTCTTGGATGGTCTCCGCGGGGGGCCCTGCTGGGTCGTCTCGGGGCCGTCTCGGGGTTGTTGTGGGGCTGCCCTGGAGGCTTCTACAACCCTCGTCAAAATTAACCTCAATTATCCCAGTGCGACCCTACCTAGGAGTTGAAGCCCCTAGAAAAGCAGCATGAGTAGTAACAGTAAAGCTAAGCTAAAGCTAAGCTAAAGCTAGGCTAAAGCTAAGCTAAAGCTAAGCTAAAGCTAAGCTAAAGCTAAGCTAAAGCTAAGCTGAAGCTAAGCGAAAGCTAAGCTAAAGCTAAGATATGGCTAAGCTAAAGCTAAGCTAAAGCTAAGCTAAAGCTAAGCTGAAGCTAAGCTAAAGCTAAGCCAAAGCTAAGCCAAATCTAAGCTAAAGCTAAGCTAAAGCTAAGCTAAAGCTAAGCTAAAAGCTAAAGCTAAAGCTAAGCTAAAGCTAAGCTAAAGCTAAGCTAAAGCTAAGCTAAAGCTAAGCTAAGCTAAGCTAAGCTAAGCTAAAGCTAAGCTAAAGCTAAGCTAAAGCTAAGCTAAAGCTAAGCTAAAGCTAAGCTAAGCTAAAGCTAAGCTAAAGCTAAGCTAAAGCTAAGCTAAAGCTAAGCTAAAGCTAAGCTAAAGCTAAGCTAAAGCTAAGCTAAAGCTAAGCTAAAGCTAAGCTAAAGCTAAGCTAAGCTAAGCTAAAGCTAAGCTAACTAAGCTAAGCTAAGCTAAGCTAAGCTAAGCTAAGCTAAAGCTAAGCTAAAGCTAAGCTAAAAAGCTAAGCTAAAAGCTAAGCTAAAGCTAAGCTAACTAAAGCTAAGCTAAGCTAAAGCTAAGCTAAAGCTAAGCTAAAGCTAAGCTAAAGCTAAGCTAAAGCTAAGCTAAACTAAGCTAAAGCTAAGCTAAAGCTAAGCTAAAGCTAAAGCTAAAGCTAAAGCTAAGGCTAAAGCTCCCAGGGGACTGGGGGAACCGCGGGGCGGGGACTGGGGGAACCGCCGGGGGCGGTTAGCACTGCCCGGCCCTTTGAGCAAAGAGAGTAAGAACCCTTCTAGGCAGAGCCTAGGTAGGGAAAAATGTCTAACGTGGTTGAACTGCTTGTCGGAAGATGTGGGGCCGAGTATCGATGAGTGCGGGGTACTTGCATGCGCCGCCCCTCCAATGTCGGTCGACGTCAAACTTTCGAGTCAATTTCGGCCAGACTATCTTTGCACTCGCCCCGACATTGAAGGGGCGGCGTGTCGACATTGAGGGGCGCGCCGAAATCGAAATGACGTGCCAGCAACTGTTGAGGTGAATTTTGACGAGGGTAGTAGAGCTCTCTGAATCCCTTCAGGGGCCATCCTGCCCTCTTGGACCAACCATTGAAGCCTCTTGGCGGGCTCTGGCGCGGACGCCCCAGTTCCAAAGTGCTCTGCTCTCGCACGCACTGCATCAGAACAGCGACAAGGTCGGGCTCCAGTCTCGCCCTCCACACCTAGCTCAGGTCCTCCTTGGGCCCTCTTGACGCCCTCTCGGGGCCGCATCGGGTCAACTCAGGCCTCCCCTGGGTCGCCGTCGAGGCATACTTGGGCCCATTTGGGCAGTCTGGGGGCCGACTTGGGCCATCTTGGAGGCTTATCGGGGCACTTTGTGGGCCGTCTTGGAAGCTTACTAGGGCGATCTGGGATCCTCTTGCGGGTCTCTTGAGGAACTTCGAGGCCGCACGCCAATTTGTCTGGGGCATCTCTTGGCGCCTCTCCGGTTCTTTCGTGGGGCATGCGATGCACCCTGCGACGCTTCTTCGGGTCTCTTCGACCGTGTTAGAGTCCTCTGGGGATCTCTGCAGCCGTCTCTGGGGCCGTCTTGGGGCGCTCTGGGCCCGTCCTGGGAGTCTCCAGGGGTGATCTGGCCCCGCTGGCCCACTTGCCAGGCCGCCAGAGTGCGCCTTTTTCGCACGCGCTGGTTCTGGCTTTGTAGAAGAGACTAAGGCTGACCCGTGGACTCCGTCCATGACATCTTTCTGGAATGGTTCTCGGAGGAACGGCGGAGATTTTGTCGAAAACCTATAAGCACGGCGGCGGCCGGGGCGGCGGCAGCGAGACCGGGCCTTCGTGTCCGAAATCTAGCAGCGCTCCAGCAGCTTGGCCGTCGCGGGGCCGCCGTCGTCGCCGTCATCGTCGGCGTCGTTGTCGTCGCCGCCGCGAGGCCGCCGTCGTACCCGTCGTAGTCAGCGTCGTTGTCGTGGTGGTGGTGGTGGTCGTCGTCGTGGGTTGTGGGCGGGAAGGAGGCTGGCGATGTCAATAGGACTAACCCGTGGACTCCGTCCACGAAGTCTGCACGAACTGGCCTTTTTTGCGCATGCTACTGCGTGCTGCTGCTTGATGCCGCTTTTGTGTACTCCTGGTAGTGCTTGAGGCCGCTGCTGCGCGTTCTTGCTGCTTGTGGCTGCAGGCTGTTGCTGATGGCCAATTCCGCTTGTGCTTGCT